CCCTCTGGATGATCATTGAGGTACTTTATAAAGTAAAAGCAGCCTGAGTCAGGAAAACATTGCAAAGTGCTCAAAAAGCAAGGGGCTTGGTCTAGTCATAGTCAAGTCAATGGCAAAGTGCCCATAGAGTTAAAACCTAAAGAAAACAGCCACTGGAGCAATGAGCTGTAATCTTCCTTAATCCATAATATCAGCCGTTGACAGATACATACAGAGTGATTAATAGGATGCTAAAAAATGTTAACAAAGCAACAGGGACTTAGAGACTGCCCTGAAAATTTCTTTATCACATTTCTAAGTTCACCAGAGGTACCATCATTACAACGTACGACAAAACATATGTTTCCCCTACAAACTTGCTGGCAGGTCTAACCAAAAGTGTCATCAGACTATCAGGAAGCGACTGGTGGAAATGAAGCTCCTGTTCTGCTCTTCCCTGTTCCTTCTTTGAGACGAGAAGAAAAGCCCCACCGGGATTCAGCCATCTCACGTGTTCCACAAACCCTCTTCAGACCCGAGATCTTTCCAGCTGTAGCTTGTACTCTTCAAACATTTATCTTGGAGGGATTTTGCTTTGTTTTAACAAGAAATTAAAGAAGAATGAGGAACGAACAACATATTTCCTGCATTTCCAGCTGCTGCTTTAGCTAAAACCAGCAGCATTAAATAACATGGTGCTAAAGGGCTGGTCCATGACTTCCTCCGGGTGTCCAGGCTGCAGCTCCAGCTCCCATGCCAGGCTGATCACATGAATATATTTGTATTAGAGGCATAAGCTGTCAGTTTATTTATTTTCCTGTTTTAGGACTAATTGCATGGAACATTTGCATTGATAAGGGTGCTCTTAGAGACAGGAAGGGACTTAATACCGGTGGCAGAAGGAGATCTTTGTTTGCTTTGTGATTTCTGAAGGGGTCTGTATCTAAATTTTGGCACTTCCCAGCAGAATGAGGCTGGCTGAAGGAGAAGCAGGGGGAGCCAGTGTTATTAGGGGTGTCTGTCGGGACCCCAAGGTGGTCACCCCCAGCCAGGAGTTTGAGTGACTCCCCTTGGGGAGAAGGAGCCAGAAGGAGCTGCCTGGAGGTGGTCGTCCCTCCCCAGCCAGCCTGGAGCTACTTTGCTGGGACAGGAGAAGTGCATTCATGGCCCTGCCGGCATGTTTACTAGTACCACCCCACTGTGTCCATACCAATATAAGGAGATTTCTGGGGTTTTGCTGTCTGGTAGCTTGGCACACAGCAGAGTGACCATGCACTGATCCATAGGTACCTTTGGAGACCTAGCTGGGACTCTCACCATCTAGGAAGATCTAATTTTCTGTTGGTACTTAAGTACTGGAGTTGAGTGATTCCAAGGAGTGATAGTTAATAAAAAAGGTATTTTAGATATTTGTTCTCAGTCTGGAGGATCTGACCCTCAAAAAATATTCTACTTTAAAAGACAGGGTGAAAACCACCTTCTTAGAGTTATAGGCTAATAATCCTATGAAGGTCTTTTTAAGCTCCAGGAAACGTACTATAATCCTAACACTAGTACATGGAGGTACAACCAGCAGCTTCAGGGAAATTTTTCTGGCCTTTGCTGCCTTCTTTGCTGGATACAGAACACATGGACATGGTTCATGTTTTGTGTCACCTGGACTAATTCCATCAAAAGCCCCTGCATGTCAAACTCACAGTTACTCCTGTCCTCCCCATCATAAAAGGCCTTTAGAAAGGTCATTCCCTCAAGAAACCCAAATACTGTGCAGAGCAAGGACTCTGAAAATATTTGCAAGGAAGCAATTCTGAACCAACCAATTTGGTGTGTTTATTTATGAAGAATGCACAGGGTACCCAAAGATTTTCTGCACCCCTGATATAAACTTCAACAGATTTCTGTGGGCAAATACTGGAGGGGGAGGGGGGGAGAAGTTCAGCTTCTTTATTTTTATGTTGTGCTCCCTGATTGAGGTTAGGCTTAACCTTTTCAATATGTGCTCCCATACTTTAGTGAGCTTGTCTTTTAATGGGACTATTCAGAAATAAGGTATTAGATTTTCTAGTTCCTGTGCTATCTTCATTCCCCTGATAATGTTCATGGGTAGAGAAGCCTTAACATTCATTACGAAGGCAAACCAAGCCCCGAGGTTGGAACTAGATTCTTAAGGTCCCTTCCAACCCAAACTGTTCTATGATTCTATGAACCTGCAACTGTTCCATTTTAAAATAATGCAGTTTGGGGTTTGTAGGCATTACTTCTACTCCAGAGCACACACGGCAGCTTCGTTATCCACAAAAGCATTCACTCCAGGCTGGAACAAGCTGTTGTGCTGTCAGAGCAGCACAGATCCCTCAGGGAGCCACCGACCTGCTCCTTGCTAACTACAGCACTGGGAACTGCCATGAAACTCATTGCTGAGTCGGGCTCCTCCTGGACTGAGGTCAGCAAGGTTAATTCAGCTCAAAGCTGAAGCAGAAGCAACCTCATCCTCCTGACATCCCTTTCTTTATGTTTTCCTCCCCTGGTCAACCACAGCACCTCATTAGCTGTGTGCAGACCTGTGCTCGAGGTGCAGCACGTCAGCCGTTGAGTAGGGAAAGAAAAGCAACCCAGGAGCAAATTTTCTGGCACCAATGCTGTGCGATCATAACGGTTTGATAAGTACCAAAAAAAATGATTCTGCTGCAGAAAAAAAAAAAAGGGTGAAATGCGGCGAAAATCACAGAATCACAGAATCTTCTAGATTGGAAGGGACCTTAAAGATCATCTTGTCCAACCATCAACCTAACTGACAAAAATAGACACCCGCACGACAAACAAGAAGCATCACCATCACTAAACCATACCTCCTAGCACTACATCAACCTGTCTTTTGAACACCTCCAGGGATGGTGCCTCAACCACCTCCCTGGGCAGCCCATTCCAATGTCTGATAACCCTTTCAGTGATAAAATTTTTCCTAATATCCATCCTGAACCTCCCTTGGCACAACTTGAGGCCATTTCCTCTAGTCCTGTCACCTGTGACTTGGGAGAAGAGACCGACCCTGGCTTTCCAAACCCTCCTTTCAGGTAGTTGTAGAGAGCAATAAGGTCTCCCCTCAGCCTCCTCTTCTCCAGGCTGAATAACCCCAGCTCCCTCAGCCTCTCCTCATAAGACTTGTGCTCCAAATGAAATGCGGTGGCCCAGCAGAGAATCCAGAGATGAGCCTGTGCATCATTCGCCTGCCCGGCTGCTTGGCTCTGTTTCTTCAGCTCAGCATCTCAAGCGCTTTGGGAGGCAGCTTCCATCCGCTGGCTGCTGCAGCCCTCTCGTGGCCACACAGCCCCAGCCGGGCTCCGGCACAGGCCCCAAATTCTGTGTGGGAGGACAGCCTATTTTTTTGTTAAAAGGCACAACAAACAGTTATTAAATAGCACGTTCATCCAAGAACGAATATATAAATAAACGGAGCAGACGCTTCGGAGAGTATTTGTTCCAGGTGTACAAGCAGTCGTTCTTAAATGACTTAGCTTTTCAGGAATCAAAAGAAAAATTACAGATAAAGCTTTAAGCAGCCGTGTTTTTAATGGGGTACCCTGTTTCATCTCCCCAGGCTGTCACTAAACAGTCTCCTTTGAAGTGCTCCTTTTCTTTTGAGCATTTGCACATCGATTTAAAATGGTGTGGGTAAATTTTGCGCTCACGTGTTTTGCTGAGTATCTGCTTACTGGAAATGTGTCTCTCTGCTCAGAAAACTGCAAGGAGGGGTGAAAATCTCTTGGGTTGGAAGAGATCTGGGGGAACTTGGGCTGTTCCAAATGGCTGCAAAGACTAACAGGGAAAAGGTTCTTTGGAACTTGAAAAGCAAGCCTGTATTTTTGGTATAATTTGTTTTTCCTTTTTAATCTACCAGGTAGAGACAGAGACATCACTAATATATGGAAATTAATAGTGGGAATTAATAGTGGAAGGAGCACATGGATGGGAGCAGTGCTGAGAGCCCATCCGACACCCCAGCTGTGCACTCCCTGCCCAGCACTGTCAGCAAACACAATCAAAGGGAACACCTATAGAATAAAAAATAAAATGGATCAAAAACTAAAAGCTTGTGCATGGGTGTGGGGCACTCTGGAGGAGGTTGTCCACTTTTGATTGATGTTTCTTAGACTGAGAGCAATAGTACTTACAGACCAGAGGGCTGCAGTCCTGCCAGAGGGATGATGTTATGCTATGGTTTTCCTATTCCTTTCCTCTTCTTCTCCTTACAGCAGCTTTAGAGGAAACATCTGCAGGAGGAATGGCTGTATTTTTAAAGAAAGATACAGAAAAAAACAACCAAAAAACCAAATAACAACAACAAAACCCACCAAAAATCCCAAAGCACAAAGTGGAGCCACAATGACTGTATGAGCTGACATTACTTTTTCAGGTGGGGGTGCTGCTACCTCTGGCAGCATCCGGGCAGAGAGATGGGGTTTAGCAGGATCAGCTGGATGCTAGGTGACAATGACATCTACAATGAGGCTGGTAGGACTTTAGACCCTTTCCACCCATGTGCCCAGCCCAAGATTTGCACAGCACCATGGCCCTAAATGCAGCACCAAATCCCACTGGTGTCCCATGCAGGATCTCCCTTCCCAGGCAACTAGCCTGGCAGCACCTTCTTCATCCCTCTAAACACCATGTGGAAATAGCCTTAACTTACCTATGCCCTCTAAACACCTCAGCACCATGTGGAAATAGCCTTAACTTACCTATGTTAACATCTTAACCACATCCATTGTAGTTCAGCAATGTAGGTGGTGTGCTGAGGTGATGCTGCTTTGAGTGAGCCAAGCCACCTCCCATGGTCGCAGCACAAGGAGGAGCTGCAGCTCACTTCCAGCACTTCCACAGCCATGGATTCATCTCTCTCACTTACAAGAAACCCTCAATGCATCCATAAAACAGTATTTTGCATTTTTATTGGTTTTAACTAAATAGCCTCCTCACTCTTCGTTTTCTGTAAGCCCATACATACACAAGAAGATGGGACCTTTTTTTGGTTTAAAATTGCTTTTATTTTATATGGAGAAAAACAGTAGTAAGAAAGTAACAAAATTAATACTTGCCTGAAGGAGCACGGGGCAAGTATCATCCTGGGATCCAAAAAATTCTCCAAACAAAAAAGGCTGATAAATTTTTAAGACATGTCTATACTTTGAGACGCTGAGATGTTTGTGGCAGTAAATACCTAGGCTGATGAAATCATGTAAAATATCTTGGTGCGGAGTGTCTTACAGCTCAAGTCAGGGTGCAGTGAGGCACATTACTTGGGTGCAGAGCAGCAGGGACACCTTGCTGGGTTTGTCATGGTGCAGCTGGAAGCACTGGGTCTGTACGCAGCCAAAACGGGGGCTGCAGCCTCCTCCTGGCTGCAAAGCAGCATCTGGTCATATAGACATGTCTTTAGGTACGTAAACATGCTGGCTATATAGAAAAGTGGAAATCCCAGTGTCAAAAGCACAGACAGGATGCATACTGTTAAAAAAAAAAGCAACTCCATGTAGGCTTTTAGTGAGATGGAGCTCTGGAAAACATTCTCCTAGGGCTGGACTAAATAGCCAGGGTGAATCTTGGCCCTGGTGACCTGTGTGGGACAAAGAGCTCATCCCCAGTGTCACAGTGCCCATTGGCCCTGGCTGGGAATGGGAGGCTGTGGCTGAGCCCCACTTTCTTACCTTCTTGCCTGCAAGTGGCCTTCTTCCTACACTATGTCCTTCTGCCAACACATTGTCCCTATGCCCACCCTAACTTGTCTTCTGCAGTTGGTCCAGACTCTAGGATTCAACCACAATCATACTCAAGTTGTTGCTGAAGATGATCCTCCCGTCCTTGTTGCTGCTGCACTCGGGCTGGCAGAGAGCCTCCTGCAGCTGCCGCCGCAGTCCCGGGGGGGCAGTGCCCAGGAAGTTTTTTGTCCCCGTCAGGAAGTCCATCATGTGGCCTCCAACCGGGTCCCCCTCGATAAAGCACTCGGTGATATCCCAGCCTGACGGGAACTCATAAACGCGGTATTCAACCCCCAGTCTCTTCAAAACATCTGTGATGCCACTGGAGGTGACGTAGTGGCCGCTGTCGGTGGAAGGCAAGCAGTGTCTGTGATTCTTCCATAAGCTGGCCCATCCGCTGCTGTCTGCCAGAGCAGGAGGGAAGGTCATTTTTGCAAAGCCAAAGCAGTTGAACACCAGCTAATGCAACTACTAAACGATTTTGAAATGCTGATTTCACCGTGATAGATCGTTGACCCTCATTCATGAATAGCCACCCTTCTCTCCAGCCAGTAATTTCACAGCAGGAGGTCTCTGTGAAGTACGGAGCAATTCATCTACTCCATAAGCAGAGAAGCAAGAGCACTAAGACTATGCCTAAGTGGTCCCATCAGACACTGGGGTCCAAGAGGCTAAGACCAAGATTGTGTGCTCCCTATGAAATACAGTGTTTGCTTAATTTAATTCCTATAGAATAAACACAACTGAAATTGTGAGACAAATATTTGTGGCGTGCATACTTCTAAGCTCTTCAAAACACCAACAATGAAGCAAAAAATAAAGGGCTCCTCTTACCTGATAAAATTATGATCAGGAGTTTACCATGATGGTCGAGGCAGCTGTGGAAAAACTTGATAGTATTGTGAATATCTTCCACTCGGTACAGCATCTAGACATGATAGAGTGACACACAGCTGTTACTCCTCCTCTACAGCGCAATGGCCCTTCAAAGGCTTAAACCCTTTCTCTATAGAGTGGGTTCAAATTATTTCCCAGTTACTTCCCAGCCTGTCCTGACTCAGAACGCAAGTTTAGGGATGCCCCATGGGACTGAGCATCACCAGATCTCCACTGGCACCAACAGCCTGGGTTCGGACGCAGGAACCCTTTGCTCAGCCTCAGCCACCAGCTGGATGCTGACCTGCCTGACACTGTCCTTCAAGCCCAGCGCAGTTTTATGGTTGGAAAATATGTGCAGAGGGAAGTTGCTTGGTTTCTGCGGCTGGTCCTTATCACCAGGGGCATTTCTGGGACATGTCTGGGTCGTGGGCAGGCTAGATATCTTCCAGACACTGAGGAGTTTGCACTAGGATAAAGCAGGACTTGTCTCAAAGGCTGCCCTTGGGACTCCTAAATTAGTCCTTGACCCAGCCACCAAACCCCTGAAACACTTTCCAGTTGTGAAATCAGCTCTTATGCAATGAAAGCAAAATGAAATAAAAGCAAAATGATGTAAAACCCACTAAAGCAAGAGATTAACAGATTTTTTACAAAATGTAACTGGCACATACAACATCACTGTCATCAGCAGCAGAGACACAGCAGCATAATTTCTGACCCAAAACCTGACACAGGTGTTTGTTCATTAACCCTTCCCTTCAGTGCCATCCAAACTACTCTGATAAGGCAGAAAAAGTGAAGGTTTTTTTTTGCAGCAGCAAAGCATAATTGTTGGTCTTCCTGTGATGTGTGATGGCCTGAGACTCATCCTGGTTTATTACCCACCATACACAGTTAAACCAGTACAAGCCAGAGACCAAAACCAGGATGGCCAGCAAATGAAATTTCATGTTTGTAGAGCTGCTGGAGAAGTTAGAGCTCCTGGGAGAACTGTGCTCAGCTCTGGTCTCCCTAACTTCACTCATACAGCAGAACAGGAAAGGGGTAGTTAAAGCTAATAGTCCTAGATCAAAGCAATACTCCATTACCTGGATCATATGGATGAAGTCAAATTTCTTATGTGTGCCTCTCTCTTTCACCTCTTGTTCATACTCCGAGGAAGTGAGCTGGTGCCAAATGAAGGAGACATTCTGCAGGTCTGGAGCTTGATTCACCAACTCTGTTTTCAAAAGTAGAAGGGAAACATGAATTTCCCCAACCAGCAGAAAAACTCACTGTTCAAATCAATGGTCCTCACTACACCCCAGGCAGGTATAGCCTTACCTTTGTAAGCTGCCACATGCTGTGGGTTGGGCTCTATGATTTCATTGTCAATAAAGACCCCCGGGTGCGCAGCCTGCAGTATCCTGATCATTTTCAAATCCTGTTCACCTGTTCAACAAACACAAATAAATAAGAGCCGTTTAGATGTGGTGTTGGGGGATATGGTGTAGGGGAGAACTTTGTAGAGTAGGGTAGATGGTTGGACTCGATGATCCCAAGGGTGTCTTCCAACCTAGACGATTCTATGATTCTATGAAATTCATTACTTTAAAAAATATGTAAATGAGATGAAAGGACGCTGGTGCACCTGCTGCCTCAGCTGCCAAGAAATCACAGAATCATAGAATTGCCCAGGTTGGAAGGGACCTTTAAGATCACCGAGTCCAAACATCAACCCAACACTGGCAAAAACCATCACCAAATCATATGGCTAAGCACTATGTCTACCTATCTTTTAAATACTTCCAGGAAATGGTCCAAGTAGAAGTGAGGCACTGTCTACTGTAGCATCTAACCCCGTGATAGTCTTACCATGACATCTTACAGCTCAAGGTAACATCTATTTACAGATAAGCCTAAGAACAAGGAAGAGATAAGCAGCACAGAAACCTGCTAATGGCAATACTCTGGGTCATGGGACAGACTGGTCAAAAAAATCGAAGAGCAATGTTTAAAAAAACAAGCAGGAAGCATTAGTTTTCAACCAAAAGGCAAAGTTTGAATGATGGCAAGGAGGGAGTCAGCACAGCTCTGCAACTTCAGTGTGGCACAGGGTGATCTGTGCCTTTGGCACTGCCCTGGGGAGGAGGTGGCTGCTCTGCTGCTGGTGTGACACAGCTTGGGGACCGCATGGCAAGAAGAAAGACCCATCAACATGCAGTACCTGGGGTCTTTGCTCCTTGGGACCAGCCACATGGTCTCAGCTCAGTTAGGCATCTCCTAACTATTTGCTATCTGGGCATTGCAAATAGAGACTCATGTATTTGTGTGTAGGTGCCCTGAAAATTTAGCTATTGGTGCTCCTCTGTTGCTGTCTGAGCTCTGGAGGAGCAAGTGGCAATCTGTCCTTCTGTCCTAGGAAATTCCCAGCCTCTTTTGAGGTGATGCAGGTCACTTGTTTTCTCTCAGAAAGTCTGCAATACGCCAAGTGTACAAAGTCCATCTGGTTCATCTGGGACTATGGAAGTAAACAGCAGAGGTGGCCACCTTGAGTGGACCTTTGTGAGGATCCTGTGTGTAGCGGATGGTGGGGCCCAAAATAGTCCTGCCCCTGCAAATGTCACACACAGAGGGCTTGACACGAGATACTGCAACTTCCCCAGCCTTTCAGCTGATGTACCAGCTGTGAGCAAAGTCGTCATCTTTGGCAGGTGCTGCAGTAAATAGAATTAAAGGAGGGAAATATCAGTCATGCCAACACTATGGGGACATCCAAGGAAGGACGGATCTTTTGAAATTGGAGAAAAACACTCAAGACTCCTGAGGAATGCAGTGGCAGCGGTGCAGAGCTAGCCAAAGGCAGAAAAAGAGGCTGTGGCTCCATCTGCTGAAGGTGGGTACATGGACCAATGTTGTTGACACCGGTATTTCAAGGAAGCAGCTGAGTCACTTTAGACAGCCCTAAATGCCAGTTAGTATGTGCCTGGGGTAGGAAACACCACCGATCAGAAGTGCTGACGTGGGCTTCCCACAGGCTCAGGGCAGACAGGAGGCAGAGCATCGCTGCCCTGTGCCCTGGAGCCACTGGTGGCAAACAGGGATATCGACAGCAAAGGGGTATTTTAAAAGTTGTTTAGGGATTTTTGGGGTTGTTTTGTTTTGTTTTTTTTCCCCACACCCTGTAAAATGCCCTATCCAATCTATGCAAGAGCAGGTAATAACATCCTCAACCAGGATGTTTACAAAAACACAGTGAAATAGAGGAACTCTGCTCCACCTTGCCCGCCAGCAACAACCCTTCAGCAGTAATCACAGCAAGGTATTCCAGAAACAGGAGTAAAACCCCTCTGCAAGCAGCAGCCACCCTGGCACTAACTGGGAGGCTACAGCTGAGATAGTTAAACCAGCCCCAGGACAGCATGGGGTGAATGAGAAGATGTGATCTGAACCAGACAACAGTCCTTCAGGATGTGGAGTTGGTCACTAATCCCCATTAATGTTTTCGTCAACTAAACTAATTCTGGGAGCTCTGTGAAATCAGAGTCCAAGCCTGGAAAGGTCAGGGATCAGATATAACCTTTTGCTCCATGCCATCCTAGCTCACACCCTGCCCAGCCTCAGGAGTTCAGCTCTTGCAGCCGTGGGCAAGCTGAGGAGGTGGGAGTCTGTGCCCCTGCCCTGGTATCTCCGAGGGGCAGCTACCCAGGAAACACAGGAAATTTTAGATTTTTTTTATTGTTCCATTAAAACACCTTCTGAAGAGGAAATAAGGAAAAATGAGAACGGTGCAAAAAGTTCATTTTTCCCTTGTGCTTTCTTGGAGTCAGAATTTTGGTTTTATATTACTTAATGAAAATGGAGTGTGATTGAGAACTGAATGATTTCTTCCTCCTTGCTTTCTCATATAGTCCAACATATTCCCAACTGGGGGGAGCAATTCAGTGCTATTTCTCTCTTATTTGGGAAAACAAGCAAAAAAAAAAAGTGAGAAAAATACTTTCATTTGAAAGCATTAACACTGAAAATTCAGCTGAAAATAGGTTTTAAAGCAAAAGAAAACTCTGACAAATCATACTGCCACTTGTATTCTCTAGTTTTTATTTTCTTCCACTTTTCCTAGGAGCAAAGTTGGATGTTTTACCACTTTTTTTTTTTTTAAACACAAATTTATTTAGAACAGCTTTAAAGCCATTTTTCCAAAATATTGTTTCTCTCTGGGGGAAAATATCATTTGCAGTTAAATCTTACTTATCAATGGATAAAAACACAGTAGTAACAAAGAAACACAACTTGAAAAAGCTGCCGAGGTGCCATGCTAATGGTTAAGCCCAGCTGGTTTTGCACCACCTGGAGCAGACCATCACCCAGATTTGGCCTCTGGGATCCCTAAAGGCAAAGCAAAACAAGAGATCCCTTCAGGTGGGATATTCTAAGACAGGACCTTGGATGGAACCAACCTCTTGGATGTCTCTAGTTCTCCCTGATGAGGTTTGAAGGCGCTCTTGTACCTAACCTGGAAGCAGGACCCCTTGCTTTGAGACATGTAAAATCAGGTGAGAGTCATCAAGAGGCAGAGACTAAGCTAAAATCATCACACTCATCAGAAAAATTTAAGCAGCAGCAGTGTTTCAGATGAGAGATGGGGAAGGAAAGGAGGGAGCATCACTCATCCCAGCTCCACACCCTGTTTTCCGTTCTCTGCTTCGATGGGAAAGGCTGTTACTAATGTCTGAGTAGTTCTCCCCCTTGCTCAAAACTTTGGAATCACTTCCTACTACACATAAGGCCCCCCGGTCCTCCGGCACCAGTGGTGCTGCCAGGCTCCTTACCTGTGCCGCTTCCAACTCCCAGGACATTTATAGTCGATTTTCCGATGCCGAGACTGAAACGATAAGTGCACGTTACTTAACCACACTAAGTCACACAACTTCACGTTTTAATTCTAATATCTTGGATGCGGGGACATTGGGATAGAAATCCAAGCATCCCTTTGGAGCCCAGCTATAACCAGCCCCATATTAGCAGGCTCATATTTCAAAGTATAGTAGACATCAGGTTATAGTGTTTCTCCTCCTCTGCCAGAGAGTTTTCTCCAAGCTGTGGCTGGCACCATGCAAAAAGGCCTGGGTGAACCCCAGAGTGAAGGGTTCCTTTTGGGGACACCAGGGTTGTGCCTGGCTGTGATGGGCATCCCTCCCACCGCGCCTGTCTGCAGGGACAAGGTAAGATGGGATGAAACCTCTGCACCCTCGGGAGGCAAAGTCTGGTTTCCCAATATTGGCTATAAATGGCCAGAAAAAAAATAAAAAAGACCAGGCTATCCAGATGACCAGAAACCCTCTCTTTTCAATATTCATCTTCGTTTGAAATTGGGAGGAAGGTCAAAATCTCCAATAATTTTTATCTTACAAAAAATTACTTCTGAAAAGATCCAAAAAACCACATCCAACCTTGTGTCTCCTAAAAGAATATTTAATAACAGCCTGGCTCAAGAATGAGAAGCCTGGGCTCGAGGCACCTCATTGCTGTGACATGCTTTATGGTCTTATTTTGCTCTCGGGCATGGACTGCACGGAGGGATTGAGTTACACAATCTCAGGAGATGCTGCAGCAATGATTCAACAAGAGGAGAGAGAGTAGTAAATCCTGTGGGGTGTGAACTAGTCAAGGAGCCCTAGCCCTAATGAGGGTTAAGACCCTTTGACAGACCTACAATCAACAACAATCAACATAGGAAGCTGCAATGTTTTGCATTGTTTAAAATGCACAGAAATATTTTTTTTTAATTTCAAATTTCCCAATACAATTTACCTTTTAGTTATTATTTCCACTGCTTATTTTTTTTTTATCTATATCTGGCCTGGACTCGCCTGCCTAAATTTTTTTCACAGTGGAGAATACAGTTTTCATAACACCCAAAAATTAGCCAAATTTGAAAGACCTTATTTCAAATTTCCCAATTCAACTTACCTTTTAGTTATTATTTCCACTGCTTATTTTTTTTTTATCTATATCTGGCCTGGACTCGCCTGCCTAAATTTTTTTCACAGTGGAGAATACAGTTTTCATAACACCCAAAAATTAGCCAAATTTGAAAGACCTTTCTTGTGGTTTGGATCTAGGCTGCTCTAAAACTTATCTGCAGTCATCCAGGCTTAATACATTACATCAATAGTTCACAAAACTGATTATCATTTGGTACTTAAGCAATGCAAATCGACTTAGGATAGAAATAAGGAGGTCTTAGGGGATTGAGAAAACCAAGAATTAGTCACTAGAAGAGAATTAGAGATGTGTTTCTCTTTGGACTGATGTATGATGAAGTCCCAAAAGCAGGCAGAGAGCACAAGAGAGAGCTTTCTTTTAAGAAAAACAAACAACAAAAAAAACCCCTTTAATCCTTGGAAAATCAGCTAATGAAAAGAGATGGATGTGAAAATGCAGTCTTGATTCTTTCCTTAGCATAAGCTGAGAGGCAGCACAGCGTATTAATTGAAATAGCATGTATTTTGGAGTTGTTAAAAAGAATATCCTAAAGACCGCTATTAGGGGACTTAAAATTGAAAAACATTAGAAGTCCATTCATGCCCCAGAAAAATCCTTAAACACGTTTGCTGACCCATGTGGCAGGTTGCCCTCCCAAGATAACAGGTGGCTTTCCCACTTTAGTGGAATCTCTCCTTACCCAGCCATAATCTTGGGCATTTCTTCCTTGTTGAACTCATCCATGCACTGATGTTCGGTTGAATGATCCAAAAATGTCTTAAAGGCTTCTACGTACTCCTCAGCTGTAAGACTTCTCATGGAAGGGATCACATACAGCTCTTGAGGAATAAATGTAAATGGTGTGTTAGCAACTTCAAGGCAAATGAGGGATCAAAGCACTTACCTCGTGGAAGAAACCCAGCCCAACCCAACCACAGCCAGAGATTTGGGAAGACAGCACAGAGGACGCATGGCCCAGGGGCTGTCCATGCAGGTGGGCTCATGTGAACGCTTTCCAACATGTTCACATTCAGGGTTGGAAAATTATTCTTAGATGCCTTTTGACATCAGCGTATTTGTTAAGTTCCTCATTACTACAGGTCAGCCTGAGGAAGCTGTCCCAAAATTAGCCAGATATGGGGTACTCGGTTTGCTGAAAGGGAGGTAACTGGAGTGTTTTTTTGTAAGACTCAAGGCAAGAAGGTGAAGGGAATCACACAGCGGGTCCAGACCTGAGGGAGACATCGCTCTCTCATGTGCTGGCATAACTGAAACCACCAGCTGTTGGCAGACGTGCTGTTAGGGGTGATGCAACACAAAAACTGCCACGGGCACCTGAAGCAAAAATAGCCAACACTGTGCACCTCATTTCTGACTCTTGCTGGCGTGGGACTGCAATGCACTGCCAGGGAGGGGGAGTCCCCGCTGGGAACTGCAGCTGGTGGCCAGGAGGGCAATCCATAGCTAAAGCATTTCATCCCAATGGGCTCATGCTCAAACGACAAGGTAAGATGGGATGAAACCTCTGCACCCTCGGGAGGCAAAGTCTGGTTTCCCAATATTGGCTATAAATGGCCAGAAAAAAAATAAAAAAGACCAGGCTATCCAGATGACCAGAAACCCTCTCTTTTCAATATTCATCTTCGTTTGAAATTGGGAGGAAGGTCAAAATCTCCAATAATTTTTATCTTACAAAAAATTACTTCTGAAAAGATCCAAAAAACCACATCCAACCTTGTGTCTCCTAAAAGAATATTTAATAACAGCCTGGCTCAAGAATGAGAAGCCTGGGCTCGAGGCACCTCATTGCTGTGACATGCTTTATGGTCTTATTTTGCTCTCGGGCATGGACTGCACGGAGGGATTGAGTTACACAATCTCAGGAGATGCTGCAGCAATGATTCAACAAGAGGAGAGAGAGTAGTAAATCCTGTGGGGTGTGAACTAGTCAAGGAGCCCTAGCCCTAATGAGGGTTAAGACCCTTTGACAGACCTACAATCAACAACAATCAACATAGGAAGCTGCAATGTTTTTCATTGTTTAAAATGCACAGAAATATTTTTTTTTAATTTCAAATTTCCCAATACAATTTACCTTTTAGTTATTATTTCCACTGCTTATTTTTTTTTTATCTATATCTGGCCTGGACTCGCCTGCCTAAATTTTTTTCACAGTGGAGAATACAGTTTTCATAACACCCAAAAATTAGCCAAATTTGAAAGACCTTTCTTGTGGTTTGGATCTAGGCTGCTCTAAAACTTATCTGCAGTCATCCAGGCTTAATACATTACATCAATAGTTCACAAAACTGATTATCATTTGGTACTTAAGCAATGCAAATCGACTTAGGATAGAAATAAGGAGGTCTTAGGGGATTGAGAAAACCAAGAATTAGTCACTAGAAGAGAATTAGAGATGTATTTCTCTTTGGACTGATGTATGATGAAGTCCCAAAAGCAGGCAGAGAGCACAAGAGAGAGCTTTCTTTTAAGAAAAACAAACAACAAAAAAAACCCCTTTAATCCTTGGAAAATCAGCTAATGAAAAGAGATGGATGTGAAAATGCAGTCATGATTCTTTCCTTAGCATAAGCTGAAAGGCAGCACAGCGTATTAATTGAAATAGCATGTATTTTGGAGTTGTTAAAAAGAATATCCTAAAGACCGCTATTAGGGGACTTAAAATTGAAAAACATTAGAAGTCCATTCATGCCCCAGAAAAATCCTTAAACACATTTTCTGACCCATGTGGGAGGTTGCCCTCCCAAGATAACAGATGGCTTTCCCACTTTAGTGGAATTGCTCCTTACCCAGCCATAATCTTGGGCATTTCTTCCTTGTTGAACTCATCCATGCACTGATGTTCGGTTGAATGATCCAAAAATGTCTTAAAGGCTTCTACGTACTCCTCAGCTGTAAGACTTCTCATGGAAGGGATCACATACAGCTCTTGAGGAATAAATGTAAATGGTGTGTTAGCAACTTCAAGGCAAATGAGAGATCAAAGCACTTACCTCGTGGAAGAAACCCAGCCCAACCCAACCACAGCCAGAGATTTGGGAAGACAGCACAGAGGACGCATGGCCCAGGGGCTGTCCATGCAGGTGGGCTCATGTGAACGCTTTCCAACATGTTCACATTCAGGGTTGGAAAATTATTCTTAGATGCCTTTTGACATCAGAGTATTTGTTAAGTTCCTCGTTACTACAGGTCAGCCTGAGAAAACTGTCCCAAAATTAGCCAGATGTGGGGTACTCGGTTTGCTGAAAGGGAGGTAACTGGAGTGTTTTTTTGTAAGACTCAAGGCAAGAAGGTGAAGGGAATCACACAGCGGGTCCAGACCTGAGGGAGACATCGCTCTCTCATGTGCTGGCATAACTGAAACCACCAGCTGTTGGCAGACGTGCTGTTAGGGGTGATGCAACACAAAAACTGCCACGGGCACCTGAAGCAAAAATAGCCAACACTGTGCACCTCATTTCTGACTCTTGCTGGCGTGGGACTGCAATGCACTGCCAGGGAGGGGGAGTCCCCGCTGGGAACTGCAGCTGGTGGCCAGGAGGGCAATCCATAGCTAAAGCATTTCATCCCAATGGGCTCATGCTCAAACTGGGGGCGGCTGAGACCAAGAGTTCTAGCTCTGAACCAATGCCCAGGGCTACCTAAGGGGCTGCAAGCAATTATTGCAAAAACTCGCTTTCCTGCTGTCTCCTCCTAATGGTAGCGCTGCTGCCGGGGCACAAGCTGTGGCCAACTGCTTGGGTTTGAGGAACAACAACAAGGCTAAGGCTTGAGGCTCATGAGAAGATGCCTTTCAGCTGAGCACTGGCCCTGGGGTCTATCTCAGACAGAAGGCTGCGGTAGGGAGGCAGTCACGGTGCCAGCCTCAACGTGTAAGATTAGCATTGGAAAGGTAGTATTCAATAGAAAAAAAATCAGTCTTTCCTCCTAAAAGAAATGAGGATGAAGGATAGCACTCAGCAGAACATCTTCATCCTCATTTTTGCCTTTTGAGGAACTGCTTATTTATCATCTGCTTTTAGTTGCCACTAGTAAGAAAACTTCGTATGTCTCATCTAGGACTGTGCAATCTTAAGTTGCCTCCCTGTGCCGTTTCCAAAACCACACGTTACTGGTAGCTGTGTTTTGGGTAGGTATGTAAGGAGACCCTGTGTCCAGCCCTATGGGAGGTAAAGAAATAAACATCTATCCTCAACATTTTGAACTATAGCCTAGCATAAACCTGAAATCACCTGAATTGCAGTTAGTTTAGCATCCTGTTTCTTTTTCCTTTTTTTTAAAAAATCTCTCACTCTAAAAGAATTAAAACATGTTTGTAGTGATAGCAAGCTGAGTGGGCATTTTACTTTAATCTCCTTTTTTTTTTTCTTTCTTTTTTTTTCTTTTTTCTCCCAAATACCTGAATTATCGTGTGGAGCTGTCAGAATCTCTGCTTCAAAGTTCATGCTGGGGAACCTATTCCTGTAAGGAAAGTATAGCACTTTGGTTATTTGAAGAACCTGTATGCTGGTTTTGAAGCTGCATTGAAAATGCAGAACAAAAGGAAGATGCTCCAGGACAAATTTTCCTCGCCTGGTAAGCAATACTGTTTGTTTTCTTTTACTGAAATAAAGAAAGTCAAAAGTTCTTGGCTGGCTGATCACCCACAGGTATCAGCAGTGGACTGGCCACCTGCACCAGGGCTTGTCTGAGGTGCATTGTGGAGGATTTTTCCTTCCTCTGAGGAATCGTTAACCAGTCAATACAGTGGAAGAAGGCATTAGACTAACTGGTATTACACACTCTGTGAAAAATTAAATCAAAAATGTAGGAGAAGAAATAGCAGTGAAATTAGGAAAAGCTTGTAGTAAGCTTCAGTGTCTGAAGTGCTGAAAGGTCTGCTTGGCCAAATGTTTCCGGGACCTTTTTGCTTTGCTGCTTTTTACTTTTTAAACTTCAGTTTTTCCTGGCTGTGAATATTACATTGGATAACTTGTAGAAGGCACAGGACTCAAAAGGCAAAAGTCAAAGAGGTCATTTGACCATAAATGTTTTCATTTAGTCATATTTTTTTCTTTTTTAGTTTAGGGGGTTTTGTGAAGTTTCCCAGCAACGAAGTCCCACCTTCATTTTCCTTTGACAATGTGCCTCATCTATAAAATAGGGATGAGGTGCCACTAGCAAAAGGAAGGGGAGAAATTAAATAGGAGCAAGGACCTCACTCCTGCAAATAAAATGTTGGGGTGAGGCTACCTGTGCAAGGGGAATAGTCATCTTCTGGCTAACCACATTTCAGCATCGGGATGCACAGCAAGCCTTTGGGGTGATATTCCTGTGTAACCTGAGTTTAGACACGTTGCTGCTTCCAAAGATTTGCCATTAGAAAAAGCTTCATGAGAAGCAGTCTGCAATAGCAGTAAGCAGCCCCCAAGTCCCTTCTACCCCTGCATGAATAAGAAACAAGCCAGGAGGTGGAAAAGAAGAAAGGGAGTCTTGCAGTAGGGCTTTGAGATGCAATATGTGCATCATCTGTGCTAGCAGATAGCGAGGAAGTGGCCACATGTGCAAACAGTGCACTGTTTTGATGGACAAATCCACTAAGGTGAACCAGAAGCCTCAGAGATGCTGGGGCGCTGCCAGAGTCCTGCAAGACCAGGTTGATCTCATCTGAGTCCACTGCCAAAGTCACGTACCTGGCTCCCATGACGTACATCAAAGGTCTCTGTTCCATCACCCTGACCTCACCTCTCCCCAGAAGAAAAAAAATCTCACAGAAATTCAGCAAACAAGCCTGAACTCAGCCCACCTCCGTAAGCTCCAGCTTGGCTGGAGGCCAGTCCCTCCAATTCCCACTCAACCCTTTGACCTCTTCAATATCTGCCTGTCAAAAGAGAGGACTACTTTGTCCTCTCAGTTGGCTGAACTGAGCAAGGTGGTTTTCAGAATAAATCCCCCAGTAAAATGCTGAGGGGTAGCCTGGCTTCCTCTGTGCAGAGGAACTGCTCACAGGGTCCAGGGACACAAACTCCATTTCTGACCGGTCAAACATTTCCAGCCATCCCAGGAGATCTGTCAGGTGACCTGGACAGACTGCACCACAAGCATGTGCTGGGATGGATGATGCCAAGATAACTGTTCCACTGACACTTTTGCCATTTCCCCCCAGGCAGGGCTCAAGACTGATTAACGCTTGCTGCTGGGAAGGTGACACAGGCTCACTCATCGCTGGGGACAAATGGGCTTCCTCTAAAATCTGCCTTAAAAATCTAGCCTTGGTGTGAAAATTGACTGCAGTGCTCTGGGCTGGTGCTACCCATCCCAAGACCCCGGTACCTGACAGCAGGACCAAAGCAGTGACTGCCAGGGAGTGAGATGCTTGTAGGCATCTCAGGGGTTCTTCTGCAGCTCCTGGCTAAGTCAGAGCTCGCCGTTAGCAGGGTTAAACATCTTCC